AAAATTAAAAATAAAGGGTCCTGTTATATGCAGGGATATACAGTAGCTTCTGACTTTAATGATATGTAATAAGTTAAAAAAAAAAAAACCTCTAAAGATATTACTATCTGAACCTATTTGCACTGAATTCTGGCATAAAATTTTACTGACATTTCTTCAAAGTGCATTACTTTCAGCATTCTTTTGAAAACCCAAGAAAAACCTTTTACTAAAATGGAGCTTAAAAACTTCTAAAAAAGCAGGGATTAAAATTTAGAAATTAAAATAATAATTATCAATATATTGTAATGTTTTAATTATAGAAAATAAAAAAGTAACATGGATCAAAAGTAGACAAAATCTTGGAATAAAAACCTTTTTTTTATTTATATTTTAAAGTGCATAAAACATTAGCAATAGGTCAATTGAGTATTAATTTAATATTACTTAACATTTGAATTTAAGAGCAGTATTTATCTTTTCTGAACGGCCAAATGAAAAATTTAGACAGTGAAAATCCTTTGCAAACTAGACTGAGTTCTCGAATTAATTCTATCTGTTAATAAATTTGTAGTTTCTAATGATAAAGATTGGGAAGCTTTTTATAGTTGTAAATTAAAAATGTAGAACTCAGTTACTTTTAAATGGTATCATTGCTACTACAAATTACTAAATTTTTTTAACCACATTTTCATAGATATTTCATTGTTTGCTAGCCAGCAACATAGGGTAAAAAAAAAAACCTTTTAATTTTCGCAAACTGCTATGTACGGAAACAGCATTTTTAAGATTTACATAACTGGAATTACTGGAACATAACAGAAAACATAACTGAAATTTTTTGTGACCACGGCACAGCGCAATAGACAAAACAATAATAAATCATGAATTTTTTTAAAAAAAAAGCCATATTGAGTGATTGATTTAGCATTTTTTAAAAACGTTACATGAAAATTTTTCTGAAACTCAAGTTTGTTTATCTTCCCGGTCAACAAATTTTTCAAAGTTTGTTTTGACCAAACCTGAAATTATGTTATATGGCTGAATATTCTCTCACAGGTCTCATACCTGTGAAGAATGGTTAATACAGTTAAACTTAGCCAACACACTGTAAGTATTATTCTTCCTGCTGACTTTACAACATTTGTATCAGTCCTCCAATTAGTACACTTAAGCACACGAAATAATTTTGTGGCCTAAGGTTAGGAACAAAAGCCTGAGAGTAAGTGTGTCTGTAATCGGAAAAACACAAAATAATTTAGTTCCATATTAAAAAATCAGCACAAGATGCTCTGTGAGTAAATCACTAATTTGCTTTGGAAAATCTAAATTTCTTACAGATGATATTTAAAGGAATTGTAGGCAGCTAAAAAATGATACAGAAAAATTAAAAAGATTTTAAAATATGCCAAAACTGAAATTATACAATAATACTTAAAAAGAAAATTGAAATAGCTAAAGCTTCTAAATTCAATTCAGATTATTCTAAACATGAAAACAGATTAGAATATCAAACCAGATTATCTCAAATTCAAAAAACCTTTTCTTTTCTAAAAAAAAAAAACTGATTATTATTTATTTATTTTTTAATTTAAATATGTTTTGATCACATATAAATTTAATTTAAAAAATTTTCTTTTACTAGAGCTAACAATAAAAAAATAGCACTGAAGCAGACTGCACTTATTTTACAAATACTGTTGGGATTTTTTTTATAGACTAAAAATACTTTTGACTTTTTTGGAAAGAGGAATTTCACTCCAGAAGAATGAAAAACAATTATATTTCAAATTAACTGAGGCCACTTAAAAAAATTTTTGTTGCTGCATTTTTATTGATTTTACAGCCATATTAAAATTAAAATACTAAATGCTTCTATCTTGTTATTTATACTCAGATCCTTGTTTTGATAATCAAGTTATTATTTCTAACTGTTTCTTAGTTAATTCTCATTTTTATTCCATTTAGGATTAAAAACTTTGTTCCACACTCAGTTGAAATTGCTAATGCTATAGCAGAGTTTGTATGTAGATTCTAGATGAAAATAGAGAAAAGAAAAATCAAGGAAGTTTCCAGAATGCAGGTTACTTGTTTAAATTTTGTATTTAAAAAACAAAGCGTAAAAACACACACGTGACTGGTGTTTTATGAATATTTCCTATTTTCAATGCGTGAAATTCACTTGTAGAGCAGCTAAAAATATCTTTTAACTACCTGATGAATTCCTTTCGATATCAAACTTAAAAAAAACAAATAGGAGAGATTATTTCTTCTCATTCATCAATGAGGAAAGAAAAGAAGCATAAGATGGACTTAGTCTTACAATATAGCCTACCAATAACAATATAAAATTTTTTTCAGTCAGCCAGGTGATAAGCACAATTGACTATAAAGCCAAATGTTGTGAGTTTGAATCCTACTGAAAGTACCGGGTGTTTCTGTGTGTTGTCCTCGGTTGTGTGAGGGTGGCCCGCATTATTAGCAAGTATCTGTGGCAGTATAGCATGAATAATGATACTCGTCCCCTTGCAGGGTTGCAAAAACCCCAACGCGGGTGAGTTTTTCTGGGTTTTATTCGGCTTTTCATGTTTTATTGGGTTTTTTTTCTTCAAAAGAGAGGGCAGGGATAAGTACCTTATTTTTATAAAGCTTATTTTAATATTAACAATTAAGTTTAATTTTATGAATTGACTTAACATATAGGTAATTAAAGTGTAATTAATATAAATAAATTGATGCAAAAGTCTGAAAAAAGTTTCTTCTGACACCAGGATATGAAATGTAGTATCTACTCACATGCATCACACATTTGAAACTTACTTTAACACAAGATTACTTTTTATTTATATTTTAATCTTAAAAAATATTTGAGGAAATAATTTTTCTGCATAGAAAGCTAATCAAAGGCACTGACTAATCAATGGCTATACAGTCAAATCTAGTCCGCAAGGTGACTCTCCAGTCTCTATACACAGTTTTTTCACCATAGGTTCATTTTTTTAGGCTATACTACATATATATTTCAATAGAATAGCTCTTCAATATAACAGAGGATAAAAAAGAAATCAATTTTAGAAAAACCCACTTTAAGATGGGTTTTACTGGGTAGGTAGGTTTTTTGAACCCTGCGCCTCTGTGACTTAGGTACACATCAAAAAACATTAAGTGAGCAAAAATTCCAGTAACTTCGGAGATGAAGAATGAGATGTTTAGTGCATGCAGTTAAAAGTGAAAGAAATAATTTTTTTCTGAAACGTATGATAAAAAAATAATCTACAGATAGTGCGATAATCTGCAGCACTTGCTGTTGAGCGCAAGGGTTTCTGTTACCGGGTTGTGAATATTGATATATATCTTATTTGGACAACAACAATATTAAATAGTGCAAAATAATATAAATCAATTAAATATTGAATTTTTTTACAAGACATGATATTAAATTTCATACACATTGATCGTATGAACCAAAATCCATGTCGCAACAGTTAGAATAGCTACCAAAATATGCACCCTATAACCTAGAATTACAATAAAATTTTTTAAAGGGGTGCAATTATTCGAAAAAAATCATTGGAAAGAGTCAGCATCTGTTTAGCAACGACCAATTGAGAACCCAATATACTAAATAGAGTGTAGCGTATCTACCACTACAAAATTACAACTACAATTCACTAGTATATAAGACATGTTAACTCGACTCTATGTCGGGGTACCTTTTCATAGATGACGGTTGACATNGATGAAGAATGAGATGTTTAGTGCATGCAGTTAAAAATGAAAGAAATCATTTTTTTCTGAAACGTATGACAAAAAATAATCTACAGATAGTGCGATAATCTGCAACACTTGCTGTTGAGCGCAAGGGTTTCTGTTACCGGGTTGTGAATATTGATATATCTTATTTGGACAACAACAATATTAAATAGTGTAAAATAATATAAATCAATTAAATATTGAATTTTTTAACAAGACATCATGATATTAAATTTCATACACATTGATCGTAGGAACCAAAATCCATGTCGCAACAGTTAGAATAGCTACCAAAATATGCACCCTATAACCTAGAATTATAATTAAAATTTTTAAAGGGGTGCAATTATTCGAAAGAAATCATTGGATAGAGTCAGCATCTGTTTAGCAACGACCAATTGAGAACCCAATATACTAAATAGAGCATCTAAATGTATTTATGATGCAAAACAGTCATGATATGCATTATCTCAGAGGTGATAAGAACTAATTATCAATCAATTTTAATATTAAGAACTTTCAATATTAACAACTAGGTCTTTCTTCACATACATAATATATAAAAAAAGTATTCAGCATCTTAAATATTACATTACATAAATGAGCAAATTGGTTAAATTAATTTATCAAAACATAAAGCTTTAAACAAGATTTAAAATAAAACATTTATCTTTTCTGGAGCTTAATTTCAACGACTATAAATGATAGTAGCATCCAAAGTATAAAATCTTAAGCATTTAAATGTCCTCATTAGTTTATGAACTACTGCCTTTTAGATACATCTATTTTATAGAGAATAATTTAAAAATCTAATGAATAATAACTCTAATCATAAAAAAAAAAAATGCAAGCTCAATAGATCTACGCTATTTACTAAATTCAACTAAAAAAAAGGCAAATGTTGTACAACAATGAATAATAGTACAGATAAATTCAGAAAGCAAATTTAATGAAATTTTACATATTACAAAAAGTCTACTGGCTTTATAATTATATTAATAAATTTAATTTGTAAAATTAATAAAATTTTAAACATTATATTAAGTTCACTGATTTTACTTATCCTAAAAAACTTCGATCGATAAACAATACTCCTGATACCGACATCATTTAAAATAAAAATAAACATTTAACACATTCCTAGTTATTTAATAACATTTAAACTAACGTATGAGTTGTCAATTACATTAAATAAATTGAAATGATCCTGAACACTGATTCTTTATGTACTAACAAACAGAGGAGGGCCTTTCCATTTAATTACTTACCGGGTCAGATTTCAAAAGATCTGAAGTATCAGTCGCAGTCCCATTCATATAAATTTGATCTTTCGTGTTTGAAGAATTGTCATTTTCGTCCGATAGTCCTTGGACTAAAATTCCGTTTACAATAGCAGATGCCATAGGGATGAGAATGAGAGAAGATGAAGATCACAAAAAAATTAATCCACCACTTCAAAATTTTATCGTTAATAAAATATAAACAAGTAAATCAGATCAATCGAGGTTTTGCTTAAATCACGTAAACGTTAAAATCGTGAGTAAATGCGACATCACATTACTTATAAAAATTTTATGAGTATAATTCAGAGAGCAATTGACAAGTATAAAAACAAAGAATGAATGGATGCTTTCCAAATGCCCGGATGCACGCTTTGCTGAATAGGGGTGGCGGGATTTTACAGTACCGAAATCGCCTCAAGACGGTAAAATGACGCATGCGCACAGAGGGCAATACACTCTGCCTCTTAAAAAAGTCGCACTAAAATCACTTGAGTTTAGAAACTGTAAAAGAATACGCAAATCTATTGGACTTTTAAAATATAGTTACCTTTTTTTTAATTAAAATTGTTGATAATTATAAATTTACAGTTTATCCGACGTAATTTGGCTTATCCAACCAAATTGTGATAAAGAAAAGCATTTTAGTTTGCTCTTTAGTCAAACAAAAATAAGCAGCTGTATGCGTTATTTTCAAAGTATTAAAAAATAAACAAATATAAAAACCAATGAGAGTCAAAAAATCTGTAGTGTAGATTTAAATTCATACTTATTCAGCTATGAAATTTTTAAATCCTAAATGTAGAAATTAATAAGCTCATTTTTTAATTGAGTGATTATGGAAAAAGAAAATTGTTTTTACTTGATGGTCACTGGTCAAATTGAGACGGCCGATGTATGATGAGTAAAATATACATTTTCTTAGTTCTCAAGTATTCTATTGCTATAATGTTTTACCTTAATAACATATGTTAACAATTCAGTATAATTTCGTTTAAATTACAATCGCCAAGACGCCAAAAAGTTTTTAAACTAGCACCCTTTATGTTGGTCCTGTAATATGATGCTTTATTTTTTTTTATTTCCAAAATCTGTCTATCTTTTTGTGCAGGTACCGATACGGAAATTTTCCGGGATTGGTCATTTGCTACCTATATTTTCTATTATCTTGTTTTTCAGAATTATGTAATTTATCATATAAAAATAAAGTTATATACAAATGTTTCGATGTTGATTTTGCGAACTATTTATAACTTAACATGTTACGATCTCAAGTTGGAAAAAAAATGTCTTTTTAACTTTAAACAACTACAGCTTTTTCATGAGCCTCCATTTAAATTTATGTGCAACCTTCAAATTACTAATATAATTGATTCAAAACTAAAGCTTCTCATAGAATTTTTTTGGCAAATTTTAGAAGTGGAATTTCTACCGTTTTTAAAATTTGCAGTGAGATAAGAGTTTTTTTTTGTAATTGAATAAATAAAAAGAAAATTAAAGAAATATATATAATTAACTACATTTACTTAGATTGGAGAAATGGATAAGTATGTAAGATTAATCAACTCAAAACTATAATATCCTTTTGACAAAAGCTATAGAAATTTGTGCTATTGAAAAAAGAACAAATATAATACCATGATCTATTTCAAAAGAAATGTTTTCAAAATTAAGTTATTCTTATAACTTTTTGATATTGTGCAGTGTAACAACATCGTTAATATAGAACAATAGAAAACAAAATAACGTGAATGTTTATAATGACATGCATGAGCAGATTCATGATAATACCAAAAGTATAAATTAGTCTTTTCACAATTTTTATTATTTATTTACCTAACTATCGCTTATTTAGGAATTAAAAAAAAATCTTACCATCTTAAAGTTAAAATAGTGATTAATTTAATGGAGAAAACTTTTATAATAACATATTTTAGCATCTCAATGTATTGTTTGACACCAGTTATTATGAGGCATTGAAACACTGAGATTGATTTTTTTCCTGTTGGTATTTCGTCTCAAAGATATTTTGTTTTAATAATGCTGTTTAGTTTTTAAATGAAGGGCTTGATAGTTTGTTTCTATGTCTTATCACTATATTCCTATATCTTATCTCAAATTATTTATAAAATTCTTTTATTTGCTAAGTTGTAATGCATTCATATGATTGTTAAAAAAATCTTATTCATCTTTTTTATCATTATCCATTTAGTTTCCAGAAATTGATGATATTTACTGTAAGCATTGTTATGTGTATGGCTCTGATTGGATGGTTGTTTATGTAAGTAAAGTTTAGTGAAGTAACTTTAAAAATTTTAAATTTTGTAGCATTTATAACATTTTAGATAAATGTTATTTTTGTTTCTATTGTACTCGAAGTTTCATTTAACATACTGTCTTTCCAAGTTTTCTTTTTTTTATTCCATATTTGAGGATTACCACTTCCTCTTGAAATAGGAAAAAACTAGAATTCTCAGGGAATTAAAAAATACTGTTAGAATACCTGAACTTGTTAAGAATACTCTCTATCAACTCTGAAAATTCTTGAGTATTAGCAATAAAATAATAAAACTATCTCTGTCACTCTCTCCATTTTTTATGCTATATTATAAAAACTTCTATAGTAGTCAGAACTGGCAGGTTTCTGTCGCCGAAACGGTTAAAATCATAGGTCGAAATCGATTAAAACTGGCATGGCAAAGGCTCCTTTCTGCCACATTTGTGGCAAAAACTCAGAAAATGACCTGAAATTAATAACAAGATTATGATAGATAATCCATAGAAAAAACAATTTAATGTTAACCAAAGTACAATTTATTTATATCATTATCACCCTTCAAAATCAAATATTATATTGTTTGCACTCTGCAGATGTCTATACTGAAAAGACAAGTTGATATTTTTACTTTGATTAAGTACATCAAAGAAATTGTTTACATTTGTGAGTCAATCAATTATGTTGCTTTTTATATACAACAAAAATTATGACTGTGTTAGTATTTATATGATTGGATTGTTATCTGTTGCCATCGGATTATTCTCAATGTTTGGAAGTGGCTTCATTTTTAATAAATAAATTATTGGTTTTTAGAGTTTAATGTAATAAAAAACTGAAATCCAGCATTTATAATTATAAATACATTACTTTATTTGATATAAATATTTGATTTATTACACTTCATATTTATGTAAACAAAATAATATATTTACAAATAATAAAATAAAAAGTTTTAAACACTTACAACAAGGTTTACACAGGGTTACAGGGCTAAAATTTCTAATACAGAGTAATATCAACAATTACGAATTTGCTTTGCTTCAAACATTTCAGTTTTGTAATTTAGCATTTTTTTCCTATTAGATTTTTAATTATTATATAGAGTTTTTACAACAATGACACGTAGTTAAATTTTTTAGTTTACATGAATGAACATTATTTAGTAATTGCTAAAACTATTCAAGACATTTTTTAATTTCTGTCAGTTTTTACCAGTTATGACCAGGCTATGCTACTGGCAGTGTAAAAACTAGTTTTTGCTATCAAAAAACCAACCCAGACAGCAGTACTATAATTTATTTTTCTTGACATCAGTGCTATTTTAATAAATAATTAAAATTATTAATTTTAGTGTTTCTATTTTCCATATTAATCAAGTATTTTTTAAAAAATTTAATTTCTTAAAACATTATGATAAGAAATATTTTTTAAATGAATTCATACTTAATTTACACTCTCTAAAATAAATTAGTTAAATACGGTCATTAATATTGTATTTTAAACAGAAATTAGAGCTTTAACTTACTTATTTTTGGATTATTTGTTTGACTGCTTAACTTGTGCATTAAGTTAAATGTCAGTGTTAAACCTATGTTTTTCACACTATATGGAAAAAATTAAGACATAATTTATAATAGGTACTTTTTTATAAGCTTGTAAAAGCTCTGTATTTTTTGAATGAAAGCAAAATCCTTCTTTGGTAAGTTGATTTTTTTATTTTTCAATAAATACGATAAATTATACTAATTTTAGAAGCTGGTTCCTAAAGTTCTACAATTTTTGTCAATCTCTGTGAATAATTGTCCTAGAGAACTAGTTTATCTTTGAGCTGAAATTCACTATCGTCTATACTTTTGGAAAGATTTAATTATATTTTAAGTTGACATTTCTTTTGTTATTTTCATTTAATCTTGAAGATGCTGATTATGATCTTGACGATTTTTGTTATTTATGTAATATTTAGTAAATGTTTTTTTTGTAATTCATGTTGAAGGTACTTCTGCAAATATTAACACGATTTTATACAAATTAAAGCATTTCAGCTAAAATTTAAAAATGAATGCTGTTTTTAATTGTTTATAAAATACTTTTTTCTAAATATCTTTTTTTTTATGACCTTTATAGGGGATTGAAGAAGGGATAACTCAAATTTCTAAAAGAAGTGATAATGGAATGGGAGTATTTGCTTTTAATTTCCCTTTGGATATTTCTTTTAAAAGTACAAACCTTTATGGCTGTAAGTAGAAATTTTGAATGATTTTGTTTTAAGCCAGATTGGAAATATTAATTTATTTTTATCTCTTTCTTATCTTATCTTCAATATATATGTGTTTTTAATTATTGTTTTAAAGTTTTCTAATTATTCGTTTATTAAATGTTGTCACTTAATTATTATCACTTGCCCACATTTTTTTGGAGATAGTTTTGTTATGACCTAAAAAGAACCCCGTAAAATTTTAATAATTTGACTATGCTTGATCAGTAACTATGTGCAGCTTTTATGGTAGTTATGTTTTTTAAAAATATTTACTCTTTAACAACTTATGCTTCTCTTTTTGCAGTTTAATGTACATTTATTGTGAATTAACTGAGAAACTATAAAAGTGTTATATAAGATGTTTGTTATCTTAATTTTGATTTTATTCAACATGCAATTTAGAAAAATTATATATTTTCATGTTTGATTAATTTTTTAAATATTTGTATTCATGTAAATAGCAAAACTAAAGAAGTAGCTGAATATATTGGAGGGAATTATTGCATTATTTCCTGACTGTATTTTTTTGTAAGGATGATTATAGTTTAAAGGGTACAATTTTATCAAAAGAAGTGAAAGATGATTCTGTAATGACTCTGTGGAAATTACTCAAATTTTTTGTTGTAATTATTCAAATATTTGATATTGCCTAATTCAGGTGTAGGGATTTTAAATTTGAAATTAGTTTTGCTCATAAAGCTTCAGATTTTTGTAAATGACACTTCAGTTTACTTTTTGTGAAAATGTACAAGTTTAAAAACATTCAACGGGGTATCACATTAATATTGCACCAAATTTTTAATAGAGTTAAGGCATTAAGGGATTGAAATTGCATAGGAAATGCCTAGAAATGTTGTCATATGCGGCTGGTGGCATTTCCCTATTATGAAGTGCTCCAAACCACACCAAGAAACATTTAATAGGGAGCCGTCTCTAGCGAGGTTTGAAGTCATTATCGAACATGGGGTTCTATGCAACATGAATCCTTATGATGTGCCTTAACTTCCGTAGAAGCTTGTTGCATTTACATGACAACCTCCTGTTTTCTTTAATGTTTTTCCACTCTTACATTTCCACAAAAAATACACTAAAATGTCATTAAAAAAAACTGTGGCTCCTGATTGTAGAAGATCTGTTAAAAAATCTCAAACAATAGAAAAAAAAAATTGTTCCCCAGTGTTATCTGTTGGATATTCTACCTTTAAGGTTAATTCCATATTATTGTTTATACCATTTATACCATTTTGTTTTAATGTTTATTCCATACCATTTGAAACATTATGGATTTTAAACTGTGATTTTTAGGTTAAATAAAAAGATAGATGATCCATAACCTTCACACACTATAAAAATATTATAATTTATATCAAATAAGTATGATGTATTTTAATTTTGAAAATAATATTGCTTGGAATGGCATTTTAAATGAGAAGGAAAATATTTCGTGGTGTTTTTAAGATGAAATGGAAAAGGAGACTGTTATAGTGTTGCTGAATTGATTACGAAAGTTTTTACCTTTTTTATTTGTAGAAAACATTAAATATTCTGTAAAAAAATGTATATAAAATGCCGAAAATATTTTTAAAATTTTTTCGTTCTTTAAAAAATGTATACATCATGTGAAGTTATTACTTTTGAGTTTTATGTTGAGTTTTAAAGACAACATAATAAAAGAAAAAACGAAAACTTAGCTTGAAATTGTACTTTAGAAGGCTATTCCCCCAAATGATTTTAATCTCCTTTTTTTAATAATTGACAAATCAATGAAGAAACATGCAAAAAAATTTTTTTTCTTATTGAAGTAAAATTTTTGTCATCTTGATTATATCAAAACTCACAAATGCAAGATTATAATGTCAAGTAAAGGGATTTTTTTTTCATTTGAAAATCTGCATTTAAGTACATTATTGTAGACAGTGGTCTGTTCTAATCATTGCATTATGTCGACAAGTTACAGTTGCATAGCATGAAAATTTAAAATTATGGTAGATAAGTTAGATATACTAGTAGAATGCTAATTAAACATATTTATCTTATTAAATGAAAAAAAATACTTGTGCAAAAGGTAAATTTTTTTGTTTAAAATAATAATTTTATTTTTTAAAGTAAGCATTAATTTAAGATCCACATTTATTAAGAAGGCAATAAAATTCTTCCATGAGAAGAAATAGAAAAATTCCATGTTTTATGTATTCCAATAGTGGTTTTTTTTAAGTGGTCTCATATGTATATATAGTAAAAATATAATGAATGCTACAACTGTAGCACAAAGTAATCATGTGAAAAATTCAACTGTTGTATAAGTTTTTACAGAAAATTATTAATGATAAGGAATCTGTTTAGTTTATTTATATAAATCACTGCTAATCAAGCATTTTTTTTTAAAATAAAATTGCATTAATTGAGGTTATTCATTTGCAAATATATTATATAAAATTCATGAAATTTATTCATGAGTTTCTATGATGACATGCTCCAATGTTCAGTAAATTTCAAGAATTGTCTAAGTAAATCAAACTTGATAACAAAAGAATCTTATAATAGCAAATACATTCAAACTTGGATAAATTAAAAGGCCCAAAAAATATAAAAATATCTAAAAAGTTGAATTACAATTATTATATTAAACAGAAGAGATAAATAAGTAAGATTTCCACGATCAAAAATTTAATACATGAACTTTAAGTGAGAATTCTACAATTTTTTTTCTTTTTTAATCAAACATTGTTTACTAATTTAAGTATCCATATTTTTTTTTCTATCTTTAAAAGCATTCAGCCAACCGCTATTTGATTGTCTAATGCAAAGTCAAACTGTTAACCGTATGCTCTTATAGTAGGGCTACTTATTAGTCTTGTTGTCGAAACCCTCCTGCACAGCAGTGGGTATTATAGATTATTTTCTGTCTCATATTTATAATAAAAAAGAACTACTGAAGATAAAATTGCTCACTTAAAAAACTAAGAACAAGTAAAAATTAAAAATGAAATGAAAAAAAAAGATTTTTCTATCTTTATTTATGTTATTGTTTTATGTTTATTTTTCTGCTTATTGTTCTATTTGTCTGCAAAGTACTTATGATGGTTTAGTAATGAGTTTCATTCAAAGAAACTTTAAATAGGCTCAAATCATAACATCATAAATTACAATTCTGTTAATTTCTTCCATCACAATGTTAAAATGTTTTTATTTTTACATTTAATTGTTAAATTGAAACTTTCTGATTTCTTTATTCGGCTTAGTATAAGCATCTGCTTCTAATCATTTTGGGCAAAATAAAGCGCGATTGTATTTAGTTTAATTTAAACAACATAAAGTTTCTGTATGTAACTCTATTGTATTTTATCTTTGCATATTGGGGCAAATAAAGGTTAGATTAAGTTTATTTTTGCAATAATATTCTCTTACTTACACATTGGCTCTAAAGTCAATGAAGAACCTTGATTTCCTTCTCCACACAGTTTCACTTTTTCCTATCCCTGGCCATCATCTTCCAATTTATGATTTTCATCTTTTTTAAATCTCCCTCTATATCATCTAGTCATCACACATTCCCTCCACATGTCTCAGCCATTGTATTCTTTTCAGTTTTATTTACTATTCTCTTTCTTTCTAGAGTTTACTTAACTCTAAATTACTCCCAATTCTCTGCATGTCAACCATCTTTGATTGCTCCATGTATTTTCCTTAGAATCTTTCTTTCAAAAGTAATAAATAAGTATTTTTTTTTCTTTCTGAGTTGTAGTCCAAGTTTCTGCTGCAAATGTGACAATAGGTCTAATTATTCTTTTAACTTTCTTGAGAACAGAGATGGTTTAAAAGTATTTAAAGGAACATCTGTTTCCAGCTGCTTCTTCATCTCTGGGTTTTAATATTTTTTTCCAGTGACAACTGAACCAAGATATTTAAATTTTGTCACCCTTTTAAAACCAAGTTCAGTATTACCTAAACTCACAGTTCATCCGTTTTCTCTGTCCATTACAATTTGCTGTCAGGGTATATTCTCATCCTCCAAGTAATTTCACAGCACCTCATCTTAAGGCACTAAATGACAACTTCAGTTCTTTCTGAAATTTTTTTTTCAGAGTGACAATTTTTAGAATTAAATTGAAAAATAAACTATAGGTAAAATTATTTTTACATTTTCCCAGAGCTGAAAAGTAAATGTATGATAATCATATAATTATGTACATATACATTTAATGTATTTATATGCAGTAGTGGTTTAAGTGAATCTAAATTAAATTTATACATCCAGGCAATTGAAAAAAAAGTTTTGCTATCATTTAAAATATAAAAATGAAGTTTTCGGGAAAATAGGAAAGAATTGGCTGCTGTGCACGAATTCTGGGAAGGAATATACCCTTGAATCTAGTTTACTCCTTGTTCACTAAAAGTTCCACAATCTTTGCCTCCTTTTGTAAATCTTTGTAGCGAAAATAAAATCTTTATAGCTTTGTTCCTGTTTTTCCAGAAATTCATTTTGGGTTCATATTCCCTTTTGTTGTTTTTTATTTTAGAATGCATTCTGCAGGTATTTCTTATCTCAGATAAGGTTTAACATTTCCTGTATTCTGTTTCGCTCAATTGCTTTTTTTTATTTTTACAATGGATTTTTTTTAGGTGATCTTCCTCTTTTCTGTATAGAGCCTTTAATTCTGTTTTGTCCCACGAGAAATTTTTTTTTTCCTGGTCAGATTTTTTCCATTGTGAGCTCCTTGCCCTTATCCTCAAACCAATCATTTCTTGGTGTGTTTTCTGCATTCCCAAGGGCATCTTTTGCTGTTTTCAGTAGGAAGTTTTGACATTTTTCCCATTTTGATCCAGACAAATCCTCCTGATCATTTCCCCAATATTCTTTGTCAATTGCCTCTGTTACTGTTTTTTCTAAAATTAACTTTTTTTCTAGTCGTTCAAATCTTTTGTATTAATTTTTTCAAGTTTTTCACCTTTTTTAAATTTAAATCTGGTAATTTTTTGTCGATATTTTGTTACAACAAGATAACGGTCTATGTCAGCTCCTGCCCCTCAAAATCTAACATCTAAGATATCTAGTGCATGTGTTTTTTATAATAATAATCTCTCCTCAATTAGAAACTTAGCTTAAAAAACATGAAGCTTGTAATAAAAGTCGAAATGTTTCAAGCATTCAAAAATGGACATTCATTCGGACTTATTGGACATGAATGAGGCAATCAAGAGTGATTTAATACTTATTATGTTTTTAAGAAGAATAACTCAAAGTATAAAATTTGTTTCAGACAAATTTTATATTTCGGTATACTTTAAATTGCACAACAGCCATTTCATTGAAATCCCATCTCATAATTATCCTTTCCCATTATCCACAAAATTCAGTGACTTGGCAACCATAGAAAAAGAAAATGTGAAGGATAATCTTCAAAAAGATCTACTGTTTTTTCTTCTTCTTTCTATTATTAGAATATATCTTTTTTTCTCAAGTATTGATATACAGTAGAGTGCTGATTATCCGAACCCTTATTATCCGAATGTCCAATTATCCAAACCATGTCCGAATTTGCTTTTTTTTTTAAAGTTTAGAATAATTTTTTACTTATCGAGAATTTTTCTAAATTTAGAAGAATAAATAATATCCACTACATCTGAAGACCATATTTAATTTACAACCTTTTTTAGCAGTTTTCTTATTGTAGCCAATACATACATGTATTGTTATACAATTAAACCTAGATACCCCTTTAGCATTTTCAACTGAAAATTATCTTCCAAGAATGTGCGAACTTCAATTTGTCAGTCTATAATGGTTGAAATGAGGAAGGAACTTATGAATAGATATGTGCTGAAGTTCTACAATTGGGGGATGAGTACTTGTCACTTGTGGTTAATGATTAGTGATTACAGTGCTTGGAATCTTAAATCTTGGAATAAAATTCAACAAAAAAATAAACGAAACTGAAGTTTCTGAACCAGTAGATCTCCCCAATGAAAAGATGCCAGGTTATACAGCAGAAGAAATAGAAGACTGGTGTCGAGGCACTGAAAACGACCCAGGATTTCAAATTTTAAATGATGATGAAATTGTTGCTGAAATTTGGAATGGAAATCGGAACTCCACTGACGAAGAGGAAGAAGTAGGTGATCAAATTCAAGACAGTGGACCTTCTCATATAGAAGCATGCAATTTATTAGATATTGCAATGAATTGGCTAAAACGTTAAAATGACGTTGATCCAGTTCAGTTGATTTATTTAAAAAGAATTAAGGGATATGGCTGCTCAAAAAAGATCATCCTCTTTGAATATGCTTTATTTCTTTATTTGTCTTTGCTTTATTTCTTTTGCAATGGAAAATAAAGAAAAATGTGGTAAGATCAGTAATTGATACAAAAAAATTATAAAAAGCTGAAATATGATAAAAATAATTTAGAATGAAAAAAAAAGTTTAAAAATAATAAATAAAAAATATTTAAAAGTTGAAAAAAGAAAAATTTTAAATACGCCAGAGCTATTTTAGATAGTACTGCCAGTCCTAAACCTAGAAAAAGTGTGAAGGGAAGTTAGTGCATAAGTAATAATAATTTAAGCTAGATTTTAAACAACTGTCCAATTATCCGAACTTTCCATTATCCGAACCATGTTCGATCCCGAGCAGTTTGGATAATCGGCACTCTACTGTATTTTTGAAGAATATAAAAGTCTCAAAATATTTAAGGTAAAAAATTAAATGTTCAGTCAAAATTTCATAAATATAAAAGCATAAATCTATGGGAACGCATTATTGCTCAGACAAAATTGGGTATGAAGATTTGGTCATGAGAATGGGAATTAATTAGTAGTTACTGAAGTATTCTGTACACTGCCAGATTTTGTTCTCAATATGCTCATGTAAGAATTATGCCAAGAAATTTTATTCTAAAAGTTAACTGAACCTTGAAGTCATTAATTTGCCTTTGGATAATTCATAATCTATTGTATTACAAAATTATTTACATCATTTTTGTGAATTGTTTGTAATTATAGTTGTTGTTGTAGAGAAGAAAGGAGTCAGGATTTGTATAGGTATTGTTTTAACTCTAAAATCTTTTTGTAAAGTTAATAAATGGTAAACATCATTTTTCGGTATATAATCAATTTTACTACTAAAATTTTAACTAAAATCCAGTTACATATTTGTTTTTTTTTTCAAATCGTAGGGCCTCAGCTGGTTGTTAGTGTCTATGGCTTGGATTTTTTTGGTAATGATGTTGTTCGAGGATATGGTTCTGTACATGTACCTGTGGCTCCAGGAAAGTATGTTATTAAAATTTCCTAAGCAAATTTTGCCTAAGTTTTATTAATATTTTAATTTTTATGGCTCTGAGTCTTTGTAACATTAATCCATAAAATTTTTTTTATGTTATGTAAATCAAAGTCTGAAGACAAGAGTAATTTTTTATTTTAAGTTTACTTTAATTTGTTTTTTTCTTGTGTGCTTGTAATTCAAAATGGTTGAAAGTTATTTCCTCTTTTTCTTCATTGTGTTTGCAATACTAAATATTATTTCAATTTAGTTTTGAAATAATAAAGATACTCTAAAATTATATAGCTTTATATGCTTGAAGCATGTACAAATTTTGATTGTTCTTGTATTTTTTACTTATACATGCCTAGCTGGGCATGTAAATATTTAATCAGGAATATCATTAAATACCAATTAAGCACTTCTAAAATTTTTAAGAAAACTGTCAAGATGCTGGATGAAGCAAGGAAAAAAATGGCACAAAAGAAATTTTTTTTTTTATACTAATAAATTTTTTATACTAAGTTTGCAAAACTAACCTAATACAAAAGTTTATAATACCATTTTAAGGTAGCATGCTGAAAAACATATACTAGTTGGTAATATTTAATAATTGTAGGTACATCATATATATTTTCAATTTAAAATGATTTTCAAACACGTAAAAATTTATACATGTGTTTCATACGATAACATTCCTCATAGGGGCATATTAAAATTTCCAGATTTTTTAAATCCTAAAAGATTCTTTTAAAATTATATGAAACTCATAAAATGTCTAAATTATTTATTATCTTAATTTATTTATTTAAAATAAAACTCTTCAATGGCTATTCAGGAATAATTATTTGTTAAGACAAAAAAATATTTGCTTTTCAGAAATAAAAATATTTTGCATGTAAATCTAATAAAAAGTACATAGTGAAAAATCAAGGAACAAGGATCACATTTTTTTTTTGCCAGCTTTTTTTCGAATTTTTACTTTTGATGACGAGTTAAGAACCTTTGTAGACTGGCATTAAAAAATTCAATAGCCAATCTATATTTACATTCCAAAATTTTTCGTGAAGCGATATTGTTGTGAAATCAACTTGAAAATTATAAAAGAAAAAAAAATTGTGTTTGTCAGACCGTATTGAATTTAAATAAATTAATATTGCTATTTTAAATTTATACTTCAGCAAATTTCATTTTAAAGCAGAAAAGTTACACTTTTTATCTAACTTTTCACTTGCTGCAAAAGCTAATAAGAACCTGAGGAAAGGTTAATTTGCAGAACAAGAGTCCAATAATTAACTGTTATGAGCTCCATGTGAGGTGTATTTTGCAATAATTTAATCCTAATTGTTTGTTTGATTTTTTTCTTCATTCCTATTTTGAGTTGTTATTTGTTAATGAAGACATTCCTTGAAATCCATTCTTGAATGCTAATTTTAGACTTTCCGCTGTTAATCTATTTTTTTTTTTTGGATGTCAATTAGCATTATAATAATAGTAAAGCATATCTTATCTTAATGTGAATGGCGTTGGTTTTACATTCAGTGACAATATCTAATATCAAATACAATTTGGTTCTATTTCAATCAATTCATAATATTATTTTCGTGCTGTGCCATCTAATACAATTCTGAAACCATTATTTTTATCAACTAATGCAATTTATCCCATCCATTATCTTATGTAAATAAAATGTTTAATTTGCAACAATATCATTATATTACAATTACTATTTAAATTTTTTATTTGTAACAAAACAAAATTACATCTACAATATTATTAGTTTTTTTATTTGTAACAGTAAGTTTCTATAATATTGTGTGTGAACTGATTACTTAGGAAAATGATTTCATATCTCTTGCACATCAAGTGAAATTTAAACAATGAAATATGTCTTTATTTTTTAGACACAGGCGAAGAATACCAATGTTTGTTCCCCAATCTTCCTCTGTACTTCAAAGATTTACCAGCTGGCTTATTGGAAAGAGACCTGAATTTATTGATCCTCGAGTTGTCGCACAAGGAGAAGGTCGAGAGGGTAAAGAATATATTATTTTTGAGCTCGTAATTAAAAGTTTAAATAGCCTGTCTTTCTCTTAACTTTGATCTTGAGTCCAACTCTATACCCTTCCCCTCAGGACAATTTATGGAAAATTATATGCATACAAATTTCCTATCTATTAAGTTACTAATTAATATTTTAGACTAATTTTTATTTTATTTTATTCATTAAAATATATTAAACATGTTAAAAATTTTTTCCATAGCTACTATAGCAGATTTGTTAAAATTTGATGAAAATATACTTAGAACTTCAAATTTAACATAGCAACTTTTAAAAAGTTTGAAGAAGTTACAAAATTGTTTAAAAACCCATAAATTAAAAGTAAAATCCTTTTTTAAAACTACCATGGTAACTTTTGTAATTTTTGAAGAAGTTGATAATTGCTTAATTTGGTCACTGAATTCCATTTTAATGAAAGTAATGAAACAAAAAGAATTCCAAAATATTAATTTGAGTGTTGGTAGTTAAAACATTGGTATCCATATCGATGAACTCTATCGATTAACATGACAGGGTGAGGATGTAGAATTTGACTCTAGAACATCCCTAAAGAAAGCCATGTTTGTATGATTTTATCACCATTCATTATTGTTAAGGTGGTTTGACTTTATATCTTAGCAGTGAAAAAAAAATGACAATCATTTTATTACATATTAGTCATAAGGTAAACTTAAAAAGTATTTATTAAGTTACATACAAATTAGATTACATTTAATTACATAAATAATTTAGTTTACAAAATTGCATATAAATTGGCGACAAAAAATGTGTTTTCTTGAATTTGCGTTTTATATACAGAACATTTCTTAGTACATGCTTTTGGTAAAGAACATACCTTAATTTATCGTTTTTAAAAAATTATCATTATTTCATTTTTTTAATAAAGTTTAATTTTTCTATAATGAAAAGTTTGTCTGCCAGTCTTTTTTTTTTATAACTGCAGATCCATTTATGCTGTCATCCTAAAGTTTGGACAGCTGGAAAAAAGCAATTTTAGCCTTCAATTCGAAAATTTATTTGAATTGCAGCATAACCTCTCGAGAGCGACCACTCTCTGTTCCACCGTAAAATTATCCTTAATTTAGGTTGGTCTTTCTTAGGAGGTACCTCCATTGTCTTTAAAATATTTTTGAAGGTACATGATTTTTCGCAAATGATTTTAATTTTAGTTAGTGTCATTTTCGTGGTCTGGAAATGTTAATACAGTGAAACCTCCGTTAAACGGACATTCATGGGACCAAAAAATTTGTCCGTTTATGAGAGTTGTCCGTTTACGGGAAGGGTACCCTAATAACGAAATTTTACACCGTTGTTTTTAGAATATTCTCAAAGATGTAGAAATAATTAAATAATATCTACAAGGATACTGTAAATATCTACAAGAATATTTATTTAAACAATAAGAAAGATAAAAAAGAATATATAAAGAGGTTTGATATAAATACATAATTCTGGATGTAGCTACAGATAAATAAATGTAATTTTCCTATTAGCATAGATACTAAAGTTAGACATATGATACTAAAGTTAGACATATGATGCTAGACGTATGAGCGTACTGTCCTCAGTCCGTTTCAATTATTAGGTTCACATCCCCTTACACCTACTTATCATTTGATAGGGAACATGGTTAATACCTTCTTGGAAAATAAACCTCCCATGATTCGCAGAAAAAAAAATGCATACCTGTAAGTCATGAGGACCTATGGAGATGATTATTCACAATTGATCAGCTATCAAGTGTCTGAATAAATGTTTCATTAATATAAACACCTCAAAGATTATACTTCTGCTCTCCTTTTTTTACCCCAGTTGTGTTAAATACAGTCTTCAAATTGATAAGAAAATTAAAGAAATTTTCAATGGGGTAGATGCATTGAGAGAAGTCATTTCAACTTGAGGGGCCTCATAACCTGTGTGGTCCAGATGAAAAGTTCAAAAGATGAAGATGTCAGAATTATTTCAGGAGTGCAGTACCATTTTCTCTCCTTTCTTTACAAAGATAAGGCAAGGTGACAGGAGAAAGATTGATTTTTCGGTGGTGAAATAGCTTAACAATATTTTTAGTTATGGATAAGGCAAAAAGTTTTATTTACATGCTTTAAAAATGGTGAAAAGTTGCATTTTTTAGCTTGCAATTTATTTAGAAAAAGTAGTGTCCGGTTTGTAGAGATAAAAAACAACGCTTCAGGATCAAAATGACTGTCCGCGTCCGGTTACGGGAGTGTCCGCTTTGCGGAGAATGTATGTAATGGGTTATTCATAGAAGATTCCCGGGGAATTAAAAATATGTCCGTATTGAGAGGCGTCCGTTTTGCAGGAGTGTCCATAACAGGAGGTTTCACTGTATAATTAAAAGGTTAATGCTTAAAGATTTTCTTTTATGACGCCTACTATTTACGTTTTGTCCTGCAGTGGACTGATCGTAAGCACACAGTTCCTAGTAGAACAAAAAGACAAGCATCTGTGGCTGTGGTAAGGGAGCTGATGGGTGACTACTTTGATCATCCTGCGAAGAGGAATGAGGGTGCAAAATATTGGTCCTAAATAACTGTTCTCAACTATCATAAACTGCTCAACTTTGCATGTAGATTGTTATGCTACCAAAGCGGGGAAGCCATCTCCTTTGTAGAAGATCTGGAGTATGTCTTCTGATCATCCTCAGGGATCTTTCCTTGACTGTTGTCAATAGCTATTGTGCAGCTCCAGGGCTTAAAATAATCTTGTGGGGGAGACATGAGGGAGGAGAAACAGTGGCTATCTATATTATAGGAGTGGCTATTTTCGACGAATTCCTTTGCACAATAGCATAGCTGGCAACGAGAATGCTGACACCCTCACCAAATGGTGCTCCTCCCCTTTGACCTGTTCAGTGCTGCATTTTACTTACAATTACCATGCACTCTCTACTGTTCCTCCTATTCACCACTAGTATGAGGATAAAAAGTACACACTAGTGACTCTCTCTCCTATCGGTGCAACAGAACATGGAGTTTAGCAACAGCAGCATATCCCAGATGCACTTGTCCATATGATTAACTTACCATGATGTGTATTTTGCATATGATGCCAGTGATGAAAACTTACCACTAAAATTCTTGTTTCTGGGCAACATGTTAAAAAGATACTTTCCCTTTCTTTTAGGATCAATGATGACATGAATGGGAGTAGTTTCACAAGCCAAATAATAGCTATATTTATGTTGCATTGAACTACCATATTTTGCACATACAGTAGTGTAGTATTATTAATACACTCTATAACAAAAAAATCAACGCACCAAGAAGCAATCATCCGATTGCTTTGAAATTTCGTATGCATGAATGTTTTGAACAGATATGTCTGGAATGATGCCGACTGGGGACGTATAGTCTTTAGTGACGAATCCCGCTTCTAACTGTGTCCTGACGATCATCGAAGACGTGTTTGGAGACGCACAGGGCAGAGGGGGGATCCTGCCTTCACTATTGCACTCCACACCGGCCCTCAACAAGGCATTATGGTCTGGGGTGCCGTTTCCTTTGACAGCTGGACCTCTTTGGTTGTCATTAGAGGTACACTTACTGCACAGCGGTACGTGGACGACATCCTAAGACCTGTTTTGCTACCGTTCCTTTTGCAGCGCCCTGGGCTGGTTTTTCAGCAGGATAATGCCAGTCCACATACGGCACGTGTTGCTATGATTTTTCTGCAAGCTTGTCAAACTCTTCCTTGGCCTGCCAGATCACCAGATCTCTCTCCCATCGAGCATGTCTGGGATATGATGGGAAGGCGATTGCATCTGGCACGGAATGTTGATGACCTCGTTCGACAATTGGATCGAATTTGGCAGGAAATACCGCAAGAGACCATCCGGGAGCTTTATCGGTCTATGCCACGCCGTGTGGCAGCTTGTATCCAGGCTAGAGGCGGGTCAACACCTTATTGAACTTGTTACTGTAACTCTGCAATAAATTATTCAATTGTTCTGAAATTTTAATCATTTGCTATTCTGTACATTCCTCTCCACCAATTTTCGTTTCAATCGGACAACTCCTTCTTGGTTCATCGATTTTTTTGTTATAGAGTGTATATACTTCTGTTTTTTCTCTAAAATATGCATAAATATTTCTTTGGATTAAGTGGAACTTTGATTATTTTAACTTAATTAAAGTAAGTTGTTTCATTCATTTCAAATACTAATACTTCTCTCTTCACATTTCAGTCACAAAAGTCAGAACTCAAGGCTCTGTAAGTGTGAGCTTCAACATTACGACAAAGAACTTACAAGAACTTGGTTATAATGTGGGTTAATAATGTAAATTTGTCTAGTCTTTTTTCTATGTACTATGCAGTCATTTTTTATGGTGTAACAATATAGTATTTTTTATAAATGATTTTTAACGCACACATGATGAGCTATGAAATCTTTATCATAAAAATTACATGTACTTAGCTCATACTAACATAATTTTATCTAAGCCTAAATTATAGGCTGTGTAACTTTTATATGTTTGTTTTAAATTGTATTTTATTGGATTAACCATAACTATCTAGCCATATTTTTACTACCTAATTATACCTTTAAAATCTAAGTCATTTATTGTATTGTAGTATTTCATATTTTTAAATCAGTCCTTATATTTATTTACTTAATTTTTATGTTGCTAATTTAATGAGTTTTTTATTTTGTTTTTTATTGTATTTATTATAGAAGAATATTTCAGGCATTTACTTTTTGTATGACGTGGAACATATTTGAATTTCTTTATGGCATATATTTTAGCTTCTTATTTAAAGGCTAAGCATATTTCTTTTGCGTGTTATACTTAAAACACTTTTTTTAAAAAATTAATAACAAAAAAGAATAATAAAAGACTAGTCATTATAAACCTTAACTACCTTATAGGAATTTCTACCTTTTTCATTTAAGATTAAATATTTATTAATTGTCACTTCAAGTAAATATTTTTCGTTCAGATTAATCCATCATTTTTCATAACAATGAAGTCATATTTTCTTATAATGTTTATTCTTTTGGATGTATGTTATTTGCATAACTGGTGTATTTTGTGTTTTTGTTTTGTGTTTTTAATTTTTGTGTACTTAAATTTTGTGCAATTGATTTAAGGAGTATTTCTTTTCTCTTTAACTGACTAGTTAAATGGATGAAGGTTCTATTGATTAACTTAGTTTTAAATTTGTATGTTTCTCTTTTTTTCTTGCTTCATTTAATATCTATGTTGTATTTATTTGTGAAGAAATTACTCATTACCTTACAATTTTAAAGTATAACGATTTAGCTTTGACTCTTTTGATGAAAGATGATTTATAATGACTTTTGTTAATGGTGTCTGCTTCCATTAACATAACAATAAACTAAAATTGACGAGTATTTATATGTTAAGTGAGATGAGGAGAGAGAGAGACAGTAACTAGTTGTTAGATGAAGAGAAATGTTAAGTGACAAATTTCAGTATCTACAGTTAGCAAACAGCTTGAGCGATTGTTAACATAATGATCCCAGTTTCATGATTTAAATATTTTATATGATATGAGGCACCAATTTACCATATCTCCACTTAGTATTATTTATATGAAGTTAGATGTCATTGGTCAATTAAATTTTTATTTGTAAAGATAAACACGTGTTTTCTGATTTAAAAAAAAATAAATCAGAATTTGATTGGAGAATGTGCTGTGCCTTTATTTCTTTTTCACAAGTTTCTAGCTGGTCAGATCTATTATCCATAACACATATTTAAAACTGTTTGCATCTAAGCATTTACACTCTTAGTGTCCTAAATAGATGGCAAAAGCCATCTACTGAAGGTTAAGGTAGTGAAACTTTTTAAGATTGTTGACTCGACTCATAGTTGCCAAATGCATTAGGAACTTTCTTCCACTAAATTTCTTTCTTTCTTTCTTAATCCATTGTGATAAGATAACTTAAAGATTTGGTAAAATAAGTTGTTATTTGTTTAATTAAGACTAAAGTTAAATCATCTCTAAAAAAACAATCTATTTCAAAATGTTACTTAGAACCTTCTTCCACTAAGCTCACAAATAATTAAACTCATTGAATGTTGTGGTCTAGTTGATAGAGCGTTTCATCACTTTTAATAAGGAAGGATATTTTAAGCTTATTCTACCAGTCAATATCAATTTTGATGAGAACAAAGTTTTTTTTTTTTTAAACCATTTTAGTATACATAAAATATTTCCTAATTTTTTTTATGCTCATCTCCCTTCTAAATTAGCTTAAATCACTACTTTTCAGTAGATTTACTTCATTACTTTATTATACAATGCAGCATTAATGTCAGCATTATCCTTAATTTATGCTTGCATATCCTGAATAAAGAAACAATGTTTATAATATATAAGACATTACATTATGTTAAGATGTTGCTTTTTTAATAATATTAATATAGATCTCTCTTAAATGTTATATATTGTTTATGTATTTTATAATTGTATGCACATGTTAACAATATATTTAAAATTTTTGTTTTAGGGTATTGATTCATGTAAGTTAAATAATTGATTTTTAAAAAAATCTAATTATTCAATATAAAGTTTTCGATCTAATGTTCTTTAATCATTATGCTGTTTAATTGACATTTTTTTCATCTGATGAATTTTTAATAAATTTTTACAGTCTTTTGTTGTTTCGAAAATCATTGTAACAAATATGTTTCATTACATCATGAATCATTACCATCTTCATTATTTATTTATATTTAAAAGTGAATAAAATTTTAATGAAAAAAAACCCATCTAAATTTTGTTTGAAACCTAATGTTTTTTTTTTCATAATTACATTTGATAGATATTTTATAACAAAATTTTTTTTCCCTTTTACTGCCTTACAGTTTCTTTCAATAAAGTTATTTTATTTCAAGTTAGCTCTTGGATATATTTATCATATTTTCTGTGTTATACAAAATACTAATTAAAGCTCGGCAGTTTTCCAAATTCATAAGCTCTGAATTTAAATGAAGATTGCTGATACTTTCACCTTAAAATATAAGCAATCTAAAATAGTTTTAAAATTTTTTGTACGTTATATTAGTTAAGTAGTAAAGCAAAAATAATTGTCATCTCTATTTGTTTATTAATTGATATACATCAGTCAAAGTATGCTACTTTTATTGTATTTTGGAAACTGTAAATATAACATTTAAATGAGTTACATTTATACAGATTATTATGTTTCTGATAATGTGGTGATATTTCCGAGTAATCCGTCCAGTTTTTTAAAAAAAATGTGTAGTTTGTCTACAGTAAGAACTCCTCCTACCACAAAGTTTGAGGCTGTCTGCTGCTATGGGAACAAGAATCGTGCATTTCAGGGAGGGTAGCTTCTTTTCACTTTAGGGCTAACACAGTTGACCAAGTAAAAAGATTATCTTTCTCTCGCCGACCCGAGCCAAAACCTGTCACCACCACAGGTTCAGATGAATGGCTAGGGGAGTTCTTACTTTAGACAAACTGTAGTTAAAACTTCTCATGTCTATTTTTGAATTTTAATTTAAAATATAATAGATGAATAACTTTTTCTATTTACTGTTGCACTTATATGAAATATAAAAATTTTTCATTTGATAATTACTTAATTTTTCTGTCGTGTGTGGTAGTTTTGTCTGAAAACTTATTTGATATTGAATAATCAAATCAGTTCACAGAATGAAATTTTACTATTGTTTTTTCCATAATAGTTTTATGGTGAAGCTGAAAATAATATTGTGATATTTATCTAAATTCCTTTTCTTCTCTATTACATGTCTCAAGTTAGATATACTTTTTTTATCCGACTTTAATAGTAATGTTATATTTTATGTATAAACTTTTTTCTCTAAAAAGATGCTAGAATAGAGTAAATCAATCCGTCCATTTAAAAATCATGTTTGCCATTTTGTAAAATCAAATTTTATAGGGCATGCGTTTAAAATAATTGATAACTCTGCTTTATTTTGCCTGTTTTGAAAGCATGTAAATAAAAATGACCTCATTTAATAAATTAAACAATTTATAGATAACACTTCTTAGGAAAATTAAAGGGTGGGAGTTAAAAAAAATTATGAAACAGAAAAGGTTAAGAAATCTAAATCAAAACTGTTTATAAATTAAGAAATGTTATAGATTTCCTATCATCATTTAAACTCAATGCTCATAACTTATTCAATAAGATAAATCTATTTTTAATAGATGTCATAAAAGCGCTACATATTTTAAAGTGAACTTTACATCAATGAAATGAAAATATTGAAAGTTACAGAAACTTTTATGAAATTTTCTTTCAAACAACAATGTGCAATATTATTAAACCCTTCTGTAATTTAAAAAAAAAATCTAGCTAATCTATTGTTTAAGTAAAATGTTAAATGTAGATTCAGCAAAGATAAAAATGTAGCAATTAATTTAACTTGCATTTGTAAAGCTTATCTTTGAAAATTATAAGGCTATACCTATTCAGTTTGTAAAATCAGCCACTTTGTAAAATTTATTTTCTGCAGCAAAAACCTGTTTTATTCCTTTTTATTTTTCGAGAAAGTTGTCTTGATTTTGTGCAGTTTTGCTAAGCATTGAAATACTAAAGGGATAAAGTTTCTTTATTGTGCACTTATTGTTTATTATGCACTATGCTCTTCATAATATTGGTAAAGATGTCTTAATCTAATTATTTTTCACCTCACATTTCTAATGTTAATTTAAAGAAAAATTATATGAATGCCTATTCTCTACTTATCAAATAATACTCACCACCACTTTTTGTTTAATTTTATTCGATAAATATATATTTTAGGCTTTTTTGAAACTTTTTCAACATTACTATTGTAATTTCGAAAGTTTCTTTTCTTTTAGTTTTTTTTGCTAAGAAGTAGTTTAATCGTAGTTTTAGCTTTGAACACTTTTTTAAAAGTTGTTAGAGTAATTTAAAAACTAAAATATATTTTAATGTAAGAAATTGAAAAACAAATTTCATTTAAGCATTATTAACATGAGGGATATGGGAACATATATAGGCTTATATGGAAGATGAGAGGAAGTAGAATGTGACTTTAAGATACCTTTGACATTTACCAGAAAACTGTTAAAATCAAGACATTTTGTCTAGTATTTTTTTAGGGCATTAACTCAATTTTTTGATAACATTTTAATTTTTTTACAAAAAGTAATAATCCTCCTCAATTCACTTCTCCAATGACTGTTCAATATTTCTTAGTTTTTGTCTCATGATTTGCATTGTATAAATTAGTACTAATCATTTTTTAACCTGATGTGTTTTATCCTATCACTAATTATTTGAAAAGAAAATGTTATGTTTAAAATTTTATTTTTTCTAAGTTTCAAAAACTAAATTCTAAATATTTTTTTCAATAATTCATTATCTAAATTTTATTATATTTTGTTCAATGGTACTATTAGATTGTATGTTAATTTCTACTACTAATGATAATTGTTTGTAATTAAATAACATTGTTTGAGAAAAAATGCTCAGTATATTGTAGCATATGTATTTTTAAATTGAAAATTATGTTATGATTGTTACTATTGTCATTAAATTGAACTTTGCTTTCGAATTTGATGGAAATAAAAATATTGCTAAGAAATAAAATTGATTAATTAAAAATGAATAAATAAAGTAAAAAAAATTCTAGTTCTTTCAGATTTTTATCATTTTGCCTGAGTTTTTAAGATTTCCTACTTAGATAAGTATTTAAAAAAATAATAAATTAAGAATTGGGTAGGTAATTTGCAATCACTGATGTTGGCGCATTTTGCCGACATACTAATGATGGTGATTTACTTATTTTACTCTATATTCTAGTTATTAACTATGTTTTTTTTAATGTGACCTAGTATAATTATATAAATCTAATTAGTCGTCACGTATTGTACCTTTTTCATTGTTTATTATATTATTCATATCATGAGCCAATTTTAAATAAGCAAAGAGTTTCTGTCTGTTGCTATTAAAATACTTGATTTAAAAAAACTAATGCCTAAAATAAGCGATTTTAACTTGTTTAATACTTAGCTTACAATGAACTTTAGGGTACAAAGATTGTTTTTATTTTTAATATCTAGAGGCATGAGCCAACAATTATTGAATACAAACACGCACTAAATATATAATGTTTACGTACTTCTATGAATATTTTTTGCAATAAATTTAATAAAACAAAGTTAGTTTTAAAACCAGAATATTATAAGATCATCTAAGAAGTTCATTATTGATTATAAAGACAAATTTCTATGAATCTTCTGCTTTTGTTATTCATATTTATAATCATGTATGTGTATAATTTACAAGTATTTTAATTAAAAATACCAATAATTTTATGATATTCAAAATTACTTGAAGATATATATAAAGAATACACATTTATTGAGAAGATAATTTTTGATAGTCAGAATTCTTGTTATTCAACAATAACATATAATTGGGAAAATAATGCAGTCAAACCTCGTTAACGTCAACTCGAAGAGGGACAAAAAATATGTTCACGTTATCAGTGCAGAAATTTTTTGCTGAAAATCATACACTACGCAGACATTTTCTATTATCTATACCTGTTATCTCATAGTGGTTTTTATCTTAAATTTATATTATGAATATGTAAATTAATATCCATTTCATTTTACTTTGATGTTTTACTTTGTTTTAACTTTGCACTTTATATTAAATTAAATATTAACTTCTATGCATTTTGGAATAAATGCAACCAATTACTTTAAAAAAGAAAGTAAAGTTACAAAAGTAAGAAAAAATAATCGGTAGTAGCTTGCTGTTTTGGTTTCTTATTTGCAGAAGTCTTCTAACTCATTAACTGTATCCAAAAAATGATTCGAATTTTCATTTTGCATTACAAAAGAACGAATAGTTTTTATCGCCTCGTAAGCATCCATCAGAGGAAATTAACTAAAGTTTTACCCAGTGAAATCTAAGTAAAATTTTAGCCCCACACGTCTTCACCTGTAGAAATGCAATTCAGCAATATCAATTTTTTAGAATAAGTGTGGGAGAAATTACTACCGATATTTTATAAAGGATCAATATGAGTGGTCATTTCTCAGTAAAACGTGCTTCTTTACATTCACATCCACGCAGCACTCCCCTAAGGTGGGGAAGAAAAAAAAAGAACTCTGTTTATATTAGAGTACAAAAGGACTTTTGTTGTATCCTGTTATGCTTACTCTCCCTCTACAAATTCAATTTAAACAACTCTTTCATTCTAACGTCACTATAACAAAGCCTTAATAAAATCTACTAAAATGGATATAGGCTACTTTGGGATTATTCCGCGGACCATTTGAGTACTGTGGGATTATCCCGTCATTATACCTTTTCATACTTCGGCATAATCTCTTCGACTAATTTCGTAATTTGGAATTATCCCGTCGGCCATTTTCGCCAAAACCGATATTATCGCCAAAAGGTAGCTTCTACGCCAATAACCGCAATTTTTATCATATTTACTGTGTATACCTTGACTACGCGAGTTACTTTTCTTTAGTGTATTTAAACGAATTTATGTTGCGGCGACTACAAAGGATAATGACTTGTTTGCGCTTTAAAAGATTTGTTTTAATCTTTTTTATTACGTATTTTTACACTTAATTTTTTTTGTTATTATTATTTTATAATTATTTCGATAACTTTAATATGTTTGAAATGTTTATTTTGGAAATTGGTTGGAAATGTTTATTTTGGAAACTGGCCAAAGGATTTGCGCATTTTCACGAACGTTGCCTAGTCGACGAGATAATCATATAGAAGTAAGAATGATCAGTTTTCTTACCCATAGTTAATAGAGGGGAAATAAATTTTTTAATCACATTAAAAGTAAATTTTTTTTAGAGATTAATGTAATTCGAGTTCACCTTAAAATATATTTCACGAGTTTTCGTCTACAATTACATATAATTTTTCTGGATTTCTAAGGATCAAGAAAGGAGCGTAGTGTGGGAGAACTTCACAGCCGCTGCTCACTCACTTCTATGTTCAAAACGTGCTATTTAGAAACGTTAGATCGTTGTATTTAGAAACTGTTAATTTTAACTATAAACAATATAAATTAGATTTATAAATAAGAAAATAATTTAATAAAAATTAACGTATTAATTAAACATTTTAATTATAAAATCGTAATTTCCTTATTTTAGGAGCAGACAAAACAAAAAGTGTTTATATAAATATTCTCTAAAATCAGCAAATTGTTGTTGATAAACATTGAATTATATAGATGAGGCCATGGGTGCAAGTCTTCCGTCCCCAGGACAGATTTCTGTCTTTCGAAAATGTCCGCGGACGTAAGAAAGACGGAAACAAGACTGACTCGTAGACGGAAATCGGAAATTTTTTTTTCTGTCCTTAAAATATTTTTTAGGTCTATGTTATTGGTCTACTTTCTTATGTCCTGTTGTTATTTTATCAAAAGACAGATGAATAAATATTTTTTGTACAGTACTTAAACTTGATGTATTATGGTAAAGCTTTCTTAGATATTTTGCATGTGTCGAGGGTGTATTGTGTATGTTAGGTATTTTAGTCAAAGAATTTTCAGTCTTGGCCTTTTTACCAACTTGCACCCATGGATGAGGCCTGAGTTTTTTGTTTTGTTTCAGCTTTAATATAAGTTATTTAAATATTTATTGTATTCTGTGTTGTAACAGATTGAAATATCTAGTTATAAGCAAAATAAATAGTTTCTTGCTAATAAAAATTATGGCTAAGTTAATAATATGCATTGTAATAGAAATATATTTATTTTCTGAAATAATTTCATAGTTTTATTTTAATTAGACTTGTAAACTTTGAAGAAAAATCACTATCAAAATTCAGAATTCATTATCTAAATAATTAAAAAAAATAAGCATATTTTATAAAGATAAATCTGAGAAATTTCTTGCACTAAGATGTGCAAAACAATTAATTTCTCAATGAGAAAATGGTGGCAGAGAGAGACAGAGATTCGAGTTAAAATATAAATGCATTTTACCCGAATTACACGTACTGCAAAGTTAAAATTATTTTTTAAGTTATGAATTGTCTAAAACTGAATTGTCTTAAGTTATGAATTGACTGTAAGGGAAACGCAGCCGTTTTTCTAGTGAAAGTAAAATCAAAATACAGAGATGAGAATAATACCTTAATTTTTGTTTTGAAAACAATACTATAATAATAATAAAATTACGAAATGCAGAATAAAATTTTCTATACGGATATATTTTTTATATTGGAGTGTAATTTGTTGTAGGATAGATCTTAGTTAGTATTTCTTGTCAAAATAGAGTTTTAAGTTCGCATAAAATTGTTTTTAACTCGAATTTCCATGCTGTCAAATCGTAAAAAATAAAATGTCTGGCATGCAGTTTGTTTACATTCATTATGATTACTATTTAAAAAGGATTATATTTCTAGAGTTCCAGTAATAGTTACCTAAGTGAAATCAATTTTATTTGAACAAACAGGAGGAATTCTATTCCCATAACTATTACAATGGATTGTTATCTGGTTCATATCCTTTTGTTTATTTATAAATTATTACAAGAAGACGAATTGTTTTTTGAATTTTCGTAATCATTTTATTGTCTGATTTGGTTTTTGTTAGACTTGTATACATAAAAAATAAATGAAATACCAGAGCAAAATTCAATTTAAGGCAGTTGCAGTGATGCATTAAAATTTCGTTTCATTTACAGACGTTGCTTTTCTTCTTCTTCAAATGTTAGAAAGAATCTCGCGCTTTTATACTTTTTTTTTTAATCTTAGTTTTTTCCTTTTGTGATCGTAACGATTGTAAGGATGCAAAAAAGGAAGAAATAAAATTCCAATTTCTTTTAAGTTTACCAAATTGCTATAGTAAGTATATATTGAATGAGAAAATCAATCTATGTTTTAGTAAAGTGTTTCAAATTCCGCTTTCGGGATTAAAGCTTGTACAATAAATAGTGTGTTTCATTTCCTTGAACAAATGAATGTAGCACCACGTTTAAAAAAGCCAAATATTTGATTAAAATAGCTACAAATGTTTCTAAAGGCACTTAATATTTCATATTGTTTTAAATAGCAATCATATAACAAATCCAAAGATTAATTTTTTTTACCCCTAATTTTTTTAAACTGCATTTTGCCCCAGGTATGGGGCAGAACGCAGTGTAAATTTGTTCAAAAAACCTTATAAGTAGTACAAATTCAGAAAAAAAATATGCTAATTTATATTTATGTAGTTTTAAATATTAAAGCATCTATTATAATGGGTCTAACATCCTTAAGACCGAGCTTGCTGGGCAGAATGGGAAAAAACCTCACCAATTGGTAAAAAGTGGTGGTACATTTATTTTAAAATATGTTTCAATTAATTGAACATTTTCTTCTCTTATCAATCACAATAAGTTAAAGAAGAAATCGCAGCTCCTTCATTTCTAACATAAATCTATATTGAATGGAGTACTTTCTCATTCTGCGTTGGAGACATGATTCAAATTTAAAAGGTGAGGTTAATCGAGAAATATACGTAAACGAACATTCAATAACAGTAAACCAAACGCAGTAAACTTAAATGTATTTTAAGCATGTGCTAGCTTAGCTAAAATCGTAATGTCCAACAAG